ATGGGTTAATAATACATGCAAAAGCCTCTACAAAATGCAGGAATGCATAGCTGGCAACATTCTTAATTGAAGGTATTGATTAATTTCATTAACCCGTCAATGACAGTATCAGAAATCTTACGGTGTCACTAACTCTGGTGATCTCAATCAGCTGTCCTGCCCTTTGGCCCAGGAGTCCTCTATATGTAGTGGAACTTTCCACTTGACTTGCTCTAGTGTGTTACAATGCCTATAGCCATACCTAGCATGATGAGTCAATTTCTTATGATGGCTACTGGTGTGGTCCAGCATATATGGGTTAACCAAAATGTGACTCTGCTATAACCTTATGACAATGGCTTTAACCCATACTATACTTAGCCACATCCTAGGTACCTAACACAGTGGTTAGCTGCCACCCAGTACATAGGTTAAGTACATGATGGCAAGAAAAAATGCCATCCAACATTATGAGTCAAGCTAAAATTCTGAAGACTTTGCTAGTATACGTACTGAGAATCTTTGCTGCACAATCTCATCAACATTTAACCCCCTGGATCACATGGCCCAAAATACGGGCATTATGCTTACGTGAGCTGCCATTGCCAGATACACAGCTTGTAGGCTGGATGCCTGCAAACACTTGGGTACAGTGACAAGACTCTACATTCCCTTTGCAATGCTATCGTCTCCTTATTAGTATAAGCATTTTTAGCCTTTTGGTACTTTCCAATGTCCATATTTGTCATTTGATTTGCATTTATCCAGATAATAATAGACTGTTCATTCTCCTTGCACAGACTCTGTATTGTCTCTCAAGGCAGTCTATAACTCTGTGCAAGAATAATAATAATAACATCAAAAAATCTAATTAAATTGTCTGTAACAGAACCTGCCAGCCAGGAAAAGGATGCTGAATGTGGAAATGGCACTGTCACTGCAGCCGGCACTCTTCCAGTCATGGCTCAAAGACACTACATTCCATACTCATTTATTGATGGAAATAATGCAAAAGCTCCTTTCTATATACCAAATGAATCTTATCACCCTTAGAGTGCATTATAATAATTACAAGTGGATCTACATACGCTGGGTAAATTATTCACACATTACAAGATATTTTAATAGCTCATGATAATACTTTGTAATGCTGAATAAGTGTTAAAAAAAAAGAAAAAAGAAAAAAGAAAAAGAAAAAAAAAGAAAAAAAAAATATATATATATATATATATATATATATATATATATATATATATATATATATATATATATATATATATTATATTATATTATATTATATTATATTATATTATATTATATTATATTATATTATATTATATTATATTATATTATATTATATATATATATATATTATATATATATATATATATATATATATATATATATATATATATATTATATTATATTATATTATATTATATTATATTATATTATATTATATTATATATATATATATATATATATATATATATATATATATATATATATATATATATATATATATATATATATATATATATATATATATATATATATATATATATATATATATATATATATATATATATATATATATATATATTATATATATATATATATATATATATATATATATATATATATATATATATATATATATATATATATATATATATATATATATATATATATATATATATATATATATATTATATATATATATATATATATATATATATATATATATATATATATATATATATATATATATATATATATATATATATATATTATATATATATATTATATATATATATTATATATATATATTATATATATATATATATATATATATATATATATATATATATATATATATATATATATATATATATATATATATATATATATATATATATATATATATATATATATATATATATATATATATATATATATATATATATATATATATATATATATATATATATATATATATATATATATTATATATATATATATATATATATATATATATATATATATATATATATATATATATATATATATATATATATATATATATATATATTATATATATATATATATATATATATATATATATATATATATATATATATATATATATATGTATATATATATATATATATATATATGTATATTATATATGTATATTATATATATATATTATATATATATATTATATATATATATTATATTATATTATATTATATTATATTATATTATATTATATTATATTATATTATATTATATTATATTATATTATATTATATTATATTATATTATATTATATTATATTATATTATATTATATTATATTATATTATATTATATTATATATATATATATATATATATATTATATTATATATATATATATATATTATATTATATTATATATATATATATATTATATTATATATATATATATATATATATATATATATATATATATATATATATATATATATATATATATAT